CATCCATCCATCCATCCATACATACATACATACATACATACATACATACATACATACATACATACATACATCCAACCACCAATCCATCTATCCATCCATCTAACCAAAAAAACAAAAAAAACAATGGGATTTAACATCAATTTTCTCTTTGTTTCAGGCAGAAGAAGCACATAATGCACTGGTTCTGTGGTTTTAGCACCTGTGTGCTGCTCACACAGGGACTCACTTGTTTTGTTGACCTGTTTTTTTCCCAGAGGAAACATGTCCTGACAGGCTGTTCAATTATCCTTGAGTTGGGCTCTGAATAACAGTGTGTTTATGTATGTGTGAATCTGGGCTCACATCGTCACATAGGCCTTTGGTGTGTGTTTACTAAATGTTCAACACACGCAGCAGGAGCAGCTTGATGGGCCTCCAGTGGGGAAAAAAAACATAACTGTTTTTATCCCCCCCTCTACTTCCTGCTTCACGTCAATCTGCTTCAGTTTCATCGTTCTCCCGCTTCCTCTCCACTTTCACCACATCTTAATTCCAACAAAAATACACACCTGCATGGAAACACTCGCCCACGCACCACTGCGGGGAGGTTGGGTGCATTGTTAGGCGTGCACCGACCTGTGGATAACGCCAAAAAACTCTCACTGTTGGCATCTAATGGCTTCACATCCATTAGTACCACAGACACAGAAGCTTTTAATTTCTGATAAATCCTCACTTTCACAACCTGTGTGAGTGTATACAGTGTGCATAAACATGAGTAAGTATGGCAGAGCAGAGATGCGGTCTGTGTATCTTTTAAAGGGGCAATATCATGTAAAATCAACTTTTTTGAGTTTCATATCATGTTATAATATTATACTCTCATAAAAAACATGCCCAAAGCCTTACTTTGACTCATTAATGCATGTTTGAGAAATCCTGCAGCGTTTTTAGGAAGCCATGCAGAGGAGCAAAACGACAGGTGGGGACCAGAAACGCCTTTTGGGACCAGAAACACCCCTGGGGCATGTCTTTAAACCAAACTTCCTCATGGCAGAGCGCACCCCCTCCCCCCCTCCCCACACAC